TTTGAAGAAGAATATAGGGTAAAGTAGTCTTTTTTGTCTTTTTGTTAACGAATATTAAGGGGACCTAACGGTAAGGAAAGTATTAGTCAATTGTCAGAAACAGTAGGGGTAGTGTGAGTCAATTTTCAAATAGTAAGGGTGCACTTAGTCAGTTAGCTAAACCATATGGTTAGTTTAAGAAATTTACCTATTATTTAATTATGAAGTTAATGGTTGACACATATGACTCGAAAGGTTGAGTTGTTCACCTGTCACCAAGAAAACAATTTCACTTTTGGGTTGGCTTTAAACTTTATATTTTATTTGCAACATCAATAAAGAAATTATTATTCATCACACTTATATTTCTTTAATATGATTAATATATGTGTATGTGTGCAAAATAGTTTTCTTTTTAAGTTAGTTTAGTTTTTAATTATATTTTTATCATTAATAAAAATAACTCTTATCTATCACACTTATTTTTGTTTAATATGATGAATACATTAATATTAAGGGCTAATTTCTTAAACTACCCCTATTGTTTAGCTAATTGACAAATTATACCCTTACTGTTTAACTATTGTCTTAAACTACTCCTATTGTTTCTGACAATTAATATCATTATTAAGTGCTAATGGAAAAAGCAAAATGTTAAATTTTCCCTTCACTATTCTTCCAATTTTCAAAATAAAACCCAAGTTTCAGGAAGTAGATCACTAGTCTATGTCTGTTTCTATCTCTAGTTAATGGGAAGCAGTTTCCCGACAACCCCAAATGGAGAGAGAACCCCTCCTTCCATGTGTAAACCTCGACAAGAAATTATTCCCACTCTCTTCAATGCCGCTCTTGCTAGGATTTCTGGCATTTAGATTGAGAGCCCAACCTGAAAGGACCTCAAGCTAAGCTCGACTCCTGAGAGCCCAATTTGTGGACTTACTAAATTATTTGTAACTATAAGTAATTTACAATCCAAATACATATTGGATATATCAACAAAAGGATTAGTCACTACAATTTTTGCAATAGTGCGAAGGAAGAGTATTAATCCTTCCATGTATTTGATCTTAAAAAGATTCACACTTTCTGAAATTCCACTAATACTGACAATCCTTAACATATTGGAGCCCCATTTCTTAAAGAGAGAGAAACATCGATTGCTTCTAAGGAATCACATGGGACAAGAGCCTCAAGAAACATTTAAACCAAACTTGTTAGTCCATTGTACGCTACTTTCCCATGCATTTCTGTTTCAATAGGAACAATCAATGTATCAAGCCTATCCATTGAAGAACGTTGCAAGCTGCAAACAAAGAGAACCAAAAGTTTTTCCTTCTATAGTGGATGAGAAATCTATCTCCATGATAGCTTCAGTTCATTGAGGATTAATCTCCCATTTGTCATGGGGCCTAATTCGCACCTGTAGTAGACTAGCTTGACCATTATTAATCTCCAACAATTCCTTAACATTCAGAAAAGAATTCAACTTATCAGAAGCCCCAGAATTGTCCAATTTACAAGAAGCCTTGACGGAGTTTCAATTTGGGTTCGCTCAAATAGTCAGACTCATTGCAATCAAGCCATTCAAGCACCTTGACTAGAATACCAAATTTGGGGTTTTGGGCTTGGGTGGGTTGCTAGAACCGCTGGTGATGTTGCTACCTTTTTAAACAAGGTTCAATGCCTCGAAGCACACCAACACGCTTTGTTGATGAACAAGAAACCACCAATGGCACTGAGGGTTGTTATTTTAAGGTTTCTTCTTCTTTTCTTCCCATTTTCCAATCTAAGGGAAGATGCAACAGTTTCTTCTTTGAATCAACAAGCTCCATTTCAAATTTCGAGATTGTCTGTTCAGTGGTTCAGGAAGGTAAATGTGGGAGGTCTATTGTGACAATGGAGAGAAGGGAGAGAGAAGAAGAAAAAAGGAGGGAATAATTGATTTGGGGGTCGAAGCTGTAGTCTCTGAAATGTTGAAACTTTGACAGGGACAAGGGTAACATTGGGATTTAAAAAAAATTATACGTCACGTGGTGTCACATTTGTACAGATTTTTACGGAACATTAATGGACACTAACGGTAGGGGTAGAGATAATCAATTGTTAGAAACAATAGGGATAATTTAAGACAATAATTAAACAGTAAGGATACAATTTGTCAATTAGCTAAATAGTAGGGATCGTTTAAGAAATTTGCCCTAATATTAAGGATGCCCCCAAATGTTTTTACAAAATTTCTATGTTTTTAATAACTTTTGTGTCTCTATCTTTTTAAATATTTATTATTTTGTATGATATCATGGGTTGATCCATTTGATGTAAAAGGTTGAATCATTGAGTCACCACTTGAACAGGAAATAGTTTCGTTTTTGGGTTAGTTTTAAATATTGCATTTAATTTTCATATAATAAAAATACTTTTATTTTGCATGCTTAATGTTATTTGATATGATAGATAGATAATATTAGAGACGTGCCTAATTTTTTACAATTTTTTATAATTTTTGTAATATTTATATTTATATTTATTTTTAAAATTTTATTATTTAACTATGATAACATTGGTTGACCCATTTGATGCCAATGGCTGAACTATTTACTTATAATTCAGTTAAAGATGGTGGTTTATTTAATTATTTTTCATGTTGGTTTTGGACATAGGTTTTACATTATTAAAAATATTAGATATAAATTTACTTTGTAGAATTTATTGGTGACATAAATATTTCAAATAAAGTATCTAAGGAGAAGGAATGAGAGTTAATACCTTAATGAGAGGAAATTTAATGAAGTGGAAAGTAATAGTACTTTAAATTACATTTTTTGCTAGCATAGTTAGAGATGTATTAAATTCATAAATAGGGGTGTTTTAGTCAAGAAAGTCCACAAAACTCATTTTTTTTAATGTGTCTTAGACATAATATTTAATGAAAGGAAATAAAGACTTAATATCTTAAATATAGGACTTAATGATGATGAGTATAATGAATTTAACAAAAGTAGTAGTTCATGAATTTAATAAAAGTAATAGTTCCAAGCTATGATTTTGACCCTCATAAATATTGGGAGACCAAGTTCAAAGAATAAGGATATTTTAGTAAAAAAATCCAGAATGTAGACTTCTTTCACACTTTTAATAGCAACATTGAAATAGATAGTATAAATATGCATTGAACAGAAAAATGTAAATTGACATTTTGCTATAGCTTGTTTTTCAATTATAGAACAAAAAAGGTAATTTTGTGTCATTTTATTAAATAAGTAGTAATAAATGAAAATGTAAAATAACAATTTTTTCATTAGAAGGAAATCCTAACTTGAGTTTAAGCACAATGGCATCTTCGTTTTTAAATTGGGCCCCACACAGACCACCTACATCTGTAAGCTATGTTAGTTGAAAAATGAAGAGAGCCCAAAATGATTATAACCAGTCATTATAAGGTATTTCCATTTGGCATTTCTTATTTTAAGACTTGTCTCCTTTTTTGCATTTAAAAACTTAGTGTTCATAAGGGCATTTTAAAAAGAAAAATGATATATGTCCTTAAAATAAGGAATGCAATATGCAGCCTTAGCCTTTTTAAATAATTTATCCGAAGTGCTTCAAATTAGTTGAATCAAGGGCTGTTCATTGTTTGGTTCAATTGCAAAATTTAACTGAATCAAACTAAATTTGTAGTTTGCTTCGGTTTGTATGTGAAAATAGTTTGGCCCAGTTTCATATTTTGCTAAATTGCAGTTATAGTTTCGTTATATGTGTGTGTGTGCGCGCACATGTATTTGCGTGTGTGTATATATATATAAATGGTGTATAAATATTATATATAATAATATAATATATCTAAACCAAATTTTTAAAGTTATAAATATATAACAAACTCTTTTGTTTTATAATAAAATAATAAATAATAAATAAAAATTTTAAGTTTTAATTTTAAGGGTGCTATTTCGGCATCTAATTGGGTTAAACCTAATAGAACCAAAGAATGGTCCAAAGTTCCCTAAACCGTATTAGAAACCACACCAAATCGTAATAGAATGATTTGGTCTGATTTGGTTTCTATGCCAAAACGGTTTGGTTTAATTTATAAATTTTTGAAACCATAATTTAATGATTTGGTTTGAGATATTTTCTAAACCGCACCCAACTAGACCGTGAACACCCTAGTTGAACCAAAGCAGCCTCTTCAAACCAACTGAACTAGATTAGTTAAACTGAAGATTCCGTTGCTTTGAAGTGTTCTTGGTAAAACCATTGAAAGATGCTTAAATGGATAACCCTTCTAATGACCGACTGACATCCGATTAGGCTTGTCGGTGTTTGGAATTTTACCCAAATAAACTTATAAGCTATCCATATGGAGTGTTCATAAAAAAACCAAAAAACCTATTGTTAACCAAATTGTTTGATTTAGTTTTGATTCGATATTTCTAAAAAACCGAAGGACCAGTTCAGTTGTTACCGTTTTGGTTAATCTAAAAAAAACTGGTGGTTAACCAAGTTGATCGATTATATATTTAATATGTGCCACATATTATTTATATATTATATATAAATCTATACATATATTCTATTTATAATATATAATATATAATATATTGTATATATTTATAGTATTTATAATATAATATACACATTTATAATATATTACATATCAATTATTTTTTATAAGACATTATATTATATATTGATTTATAATATATTTGAAAAACTAAACAACCAAATCGGTCAAAAACCGAAATCAATTAACCGGTTACGATTTGATTTCCGTCGAAGAGTTGCAAAAGCCGATAGGACCGATTCGATTTAAAAAAGTTGCCCATGGTTCGGTACTTCGGTTAACCGAACCGAACTGTGAGCACCTCTCAGCCGCTCGATGCGTTTCAGTCCTCTCAAACGGGCCCTGAGCGGTCGGCTAGCGGGCTAGGCCTAGCGTTACTCATTGGATAACTAATTCCAAAGCCCAATAGCCCATTTTACGCACCGTGTACGTTAACCCCTAACTAAAACCCCCCGTGCTCGTTCGATCCTCTATTGCCTATCAGCTGAAAGCCTGAAAAGCCAGTACGCGCATTGAAGCAGAAATCATGGAGAGCAGACGATGCCTCAACGCTCTCACTCATCAGCTTCGATCTCTAGCCTCCTTAAACTCATCGTTTCAAAGCCTTAGAGCTCTTCATCACCTTCTCACCCTTGTTGCATCTGATCCTCTCTTGCTTGAAAATCCCACCTCAATCACCTATCGTATCGGTCATACATTCGAATTTGCCTCCTGCATTAAGTACCAAACCGTTCGCCCTTACTCATCTGGAAGGAGAAATTCTAGTAAACCCCAGAACGACGACGATGACAACGAGGCCGACGAAGATGATGATATAGACGAAGACGAAGACGAAAACGAAGAAGAAATGGGAGCGACGGAGAAGGAGACCATATTCCGATGTCAAATTGTGTATCCAACAGATCTTATTCATTAGAGGAGACTGAGAAGAAAAGCATATGAGGGTATAAAGTGGTCGGGCCTCTTGATCCTTCGGAGAGGCCTTTTAAACCATGGGAGCCAGTTTTTGCCGTTGTTCAGGTTTTGTGCATTTTCCATTTATTTGGTTGATTTAGACTTATGCAGTAGCATAACTGTGATTATCCATATTGTACATGATGGAATTCACCCATTATTAATGTTCTTGATGCTTTGTTTTTTAATATTATTATTTGGATAGATTGATTCTCATCAGTTCAAAGTGAGCAATGGGGATTGCATTTATACCGAGAGGCTGAAATTCTGCGAGGTCAATGAGAAGGTACAAATTCCTTCATTTTTTTTCTGTTTTAATTTTAAAAGTTAGATAACATATTAGTAATTTAGCATTTGATGTATGTCTTACTACTTTTTTTGGTTGCTTGACATCTGAAAAAATTTCCCTGCTATTGTAGTGACTCGTATGAACAATAACCTTAAACTTTTATGTGGTTTTACTTGACTGATTAGACTACACAGAGAGAGAAAGTGAATTTTTTTCTCAATCGATGTCTGTCTTCATGGTATCAGAGCCTGCGTTACTATTCGCTGCGCGACCGACGGTTATCGCTGCTGATCACTTTCGGACAAGACGGTTCTCGTCGTCATCAGGATTTCTTGATCTCCAATTCCTATTCTTGCTACAGTAGAATATTTCTTCACAGAACTTACAAAGTTCTTGATGGAGCTGAAGATTGCTATGTTTCTTGACAAAATTTACAGAGTCTCTTGGTGGCTGTAGATCTTGATCCGACAACAGCTTATTACCTCCATCCCTAGGATAATCCCTGTGATCGGCTTGTTCTCGCGCCGTGACGTTCCTCTGTTTCTTCCTGTTTCTTCAAGAATTCGATACCGGTTTTCAAGAATGGAGATCGGAGTTAACTCTCCATACTTCCTTCACCCGTCCGACAGTCCAGGTGCCATACTGGTCTCATCTCCACTCAACGGAGATAACTTCTCGTTGTGGCAGCGAGGGATGATCAATGCACTCAGAGCGAAGAACAAAATCGGCTTCGTCGACGGATCTCTGCCACGACCCTACTGCAAGTGATCCCGATCTCAATGCTTGGATAAAATGCAACGCGATGGTTGTGGTGAGATTTTTAACTCCCTAACTGGAGAGGTTTACGAAAGCATTGCTTTCATTGATTCAGCAGCAGATATATGGAAGGAACTCCAAGAAAGGTATTCTCAAACACATGTAATATTCTAACAATATATTCATCTCTTATTCAAAGATGACGTTGTTTCCGTTGCCATTTACTTGAAACCAAATTAGAGGGGCAGGGGTGGAAATGGCAACTGAAATTAAAACGTTCAGAAGATTTTCAAGGGAGATGCATTTGGTAATTCAGTGGATTCCAAGATTGGTTAACAGTCAAGCAGACCAGTTAGCAAAACAAGGAGTTAACAAGGCACATTGTTTTTGGGCTCAGTTGTAGGATTAAAGAACTCAAGGTTTATAGCTTTTTTTTTTTGACAGTCTTGAGTTTACAGGGGGGAGTAGCCGAGGCTACCCATGATTGTACATGTTCTAAGTTCATTAAATAATAAAATTTACTTCTGTTACTTATAAAAAAATGACAACTGAAATAGTACAGCCTGAAAAGTGTTATGGCCATTTCTTGATCAATAGTTTTATGTCCATTTTACAGAGGAAAAAATGGAGTCTTAAGGAAGTTGATTGTAAATTTTTGAATACATAGTATTGTTATGTAGATGCCTTTTGTTCTAAGGTTCAAAGGTACACTCTTAGGAGAGAGAGAGTGTGTCTGGAGTTACTGGCTCATAGACCTCCTCCAGATCCTATAGATGACTTGACTTGCAGCTGGGGAGCACTGAGTGTAGGAGCTAGGAATGGAACCTGTGGCCAGGTGGCCGGAGCCAAAGGTGGAAAATGTCTGTATGAGGTCAGTAAGGGGGTATTTTATATTCTTATTGAGGGTTGAATTAGGGAACTAGAATGAGAAGTTAGGTTTGCAACTGTAATTTAGATTATATTGAATTTTCACAGGGAATTCATCTTATGCAACTATTGCTGGAGTACATTAAAAGCATGCTAAATCTTGTGTTTTCTGTGGGTTTGCTTTCTTGTTTTTTATGGGTTTATTTACTTTTAGTTTTACAGGCACAATATTTTTGAATTTCAAATTATCGGAACTATGTCAGCCTTACTGTAAATTTCATTCCTCATGTTTTCTTATGTCAATCTCAATGTTTATCTTTTTATTACACCATGGATATTGATAGTCCACACGCTCGTATGGCTTTCCCACAAATTGTCAACTGAAAAAGTAACTTCCCTATTTAGCACCCCATATTGCATCAAGTGGTTCTTGTGGAGCTAAGTGTCTAGGTTTTAATGCTTTTGTTGGTAAAGTTAGCTTGATGTAGCCCATAACAAGTGTTCACCAACCATGGTTATTGTATTCCCTTGTGTTGATGGGAGTAATAGCATATCTATCTCAAAAGTAAGTAGAATGGCTCTCGTCAGAAGTTCTAATTCAAGCTTGCATATTTACTCCTTAAGATGCAGGCTGTTACTGTAGATAGACTTGCAGGCTCCAAAAGGCTCTCTCATGGCCAGGTGATACTGGGATTTGGAAGTACCTCCAATGGATTGTGTAATAGTTTTCTGAATGAAAGAAGCGGGTGTAATTATGAAGATACAACTTATATGGAGGCTAATGTTGCGGCATTACCAGGAAATAGTGTTAGAGAGAGGTTATTCTTTATAAATAGTGTTAGAGAGAAGTTTTTTGAGGATAACACTAGCCCTACATTTCTTGGCTGTGAGTTTTTTTTTTTTTTTTTTTTTTTTTTTTTTTTTTTTTTATAGAGTTCTTTTAAGCGCCCTGTGGTTGTTTATACAGAATCTCACTGTGCACAGGGCTGTAAATAATTTTTCAATTAATACTTAATACTTTGGGGTCTGGATGAGGATTCAATTGGTTTGTGAGAAGTCCATTCATGGAAATAGGTATAACATGAGGGTTTGGGTAGAAGTCACTCTGTGGAGGATGTGTTGTTGTAGATTGCAGGTTCTGGGACGTTTCCTTCGCATTACACCTGTTCATGGGCCAGGCTGGGCTTTGCCTCTTTATTAACAGAAAATGTCCAGGCTTGGGCCCGAGCCTGGCCTGACCATGAGGCCTAGATCTTGAGCCCGACTCTGGCCCCTTATATAAAGCCTGGTATGAATAGGAACATGCAAATTTTATTATATGCTACTAATATATATATATATATATATATATATATTGTGTGTGTTTGTGTGTGTGTGTGTGGGGGGGGGGTGTGTGTTGCTGTTCACTCCCACAAAGAAAGATTTATATTATGAGAAAATTACACATATGCCCTTAGCACGCCTAAATACAAAAAATGACCAAGAAAGACCAATAAGCCCTTACAAATAAAACATATTTTCAACTCTCCCCCTTAAGCTGAGCATAGATATCTATCATGCCCAGCTTACCAAGATTGTTGTCGAGTTTCAGCTTGGGAACCCCCTTGTTAAACAATCAAATAGTTGATCTTCTAACTTGACAATAGGTAGGCAAATCTCTCCACTAGCAATTCTCTCTCTAATAAAGTGTCTATCCACTTCAATATGTTTTGTGCGGTCACAGGGGCGAAGCTAGGGGGTCTATGGGAGCCATGCCCCCCTTATGGTCTCAAAACACCATATGTAATGCATTTTCCCATGCATTTTCCTCCCTCTCCCCAGTTTCCACCTAATGGTTGGTCTCCATAAGCCCCATCCATAAGTTTTGGCCCTCATAAAAAATTCCTAGCTCCGCCCTTGTGCAATCATGTTGGACAAGATTATGTGCAATGTTTATGGCAGCTTGATTGTCACTAGATATCTGCATTAGAACTTCTGCTTGTATTCCAATATCTACCAACAAACTCTTCAACCGTAGATGTTCATGGTTAGTATATAGCATTCCTTTACCAGGACAACCTTTCAAATAGGCAAGTATCTTATTTACAATCAACATATGAGATGTTCTAGGCTTGTGCATGCATTGGCTCACCACACTTACTGCATATGAAATATCAAKCCTAGTCAAACATAGATAAAGAAGGCGACCAACCAATCTTTGATAAACACCTTTGTCTGGAAGAATATCTCCATCATCAACACTTAACTTATGATTGGGATCAATTGGAATTTTAGCTAGCTTACACCCCAATTTGCCCACTTCTTGAAGTAAGTCAAGGACAAATTTCCTTTGTGATATAAATGTTCCTTTCTTTGATCTTGTAAYATCAATCCCAAGAAAATACTTGAGATCACCTAGATCCTTGATCTCAAATTCAAGAGGTGTCAGCTCTAGTGACCACAATATCATCAACATATACTATTAGCATAGTCACACGGTTATCAACCCTTCTTATGAATAAAATATGATCAGCTTGAGATTATGTGAATCTTCACCACGACTTTTTTGAATCTATCAAACCAAACCCTAGGAGGTTGCTTGAGGCCATAGAGAGATTTCTTCAAACAACATACTTTTATCTCACTATTAAGGAAGCTCACATTAAGAGGAAGATCCATGTAAACCTCTCCTTGAAGATCACCGTTAAGAAAAACATTCTTCATATCCATTTGATACAGTAGAAGTTCAGGACTGTTATCAGTCTTGAATCCTAATGGATTTCAGGTTCGAAAATAAGAAGAAAGGTAAAGAGAAAAGAGGAGAAAGAGGGAGGAGAAGCAGTAGAACACAAGAGTTGAAAAGGAGGAGCAGAAGCTTAATGTACTGCCGCTGCCACTTTAATTAATATTTATAGGTAATGCTCATTACATGGAAAGGACAGATCTGCCCTTAGTCTTTACATAACAAATAGAGCAAAAAAAGTGAAATAAATAACAACTGAAACAACTAAAT